CGAACGCCTCCGTTAGGGATGTGGCTAAGAAGCTGCACCTAAGCCGAAGTTTTGTCCAGAAGGCCAAAACTAAGGCTGGGCTTCGAACGTTCAAGGTACAAAAGGCCCCTAATCGCGACGAGAAGCAGAACAAGTCCGCCAAAACCCGTGCCAGGAAGTTGTACCTCAACATGCTGACGAAAGTTGAATGCTGCATCATGGACGACGAAACATATGTGAAGGCCGATTTCAAACAGATCCCCGGCAACCTGTTTTTCACGGCCAACGATAAGTTCAGCGTTCCGGAGCATGTCCGCACTCAGAAGATGTCCAAATTTGCGAAGAAATTCCTGGTTTGGCAAGCCATCTGCACGTGCGGGAAGCGGAGTGCACCTTTCGTGACCCAGGACACGATGAACGGACAGGTGTACATAAAAGAGTGCCTCCAGAAGCGGCTGCTTCCTCTCCTGAAGGCCCACAACGTCCCAACAATCTTCTGGCCGGATTTGGCCTCATGCCACTACTCCAAGGACGTGCTGAAGTGGTATGCGGACAATAAGGTCAATTTCGTGCCGAAAATGTTCAACCCTCCCAACACTCCGGAGCTCCGCCCCATCGAGAAGTACTGGGCGATTATGAAGCAGCACCTTCTTAAACGACCTAAGGTAGTGAAGACAGTCGAGGAACTGAAGAAAGTATGGGTTTACATGCAAAAAACGGTTGATTCACAGGTTGTGCAGAATATTATGGCCGGGGTTAAGGCCAAGGTGCGGGCATTTGCGTATGGACTGTAAATAAAATACGAGTAAAATGGTTAAATGAAGTTCAATAGTTATTTCTCAATCCCTGAAAATTTGATGGCAATCGGATGAAAACTCGAATTTTGCGAATCAATTTTGTGTGTGGCAATTTCATCGTGGACACCCTTTAGACGCACATTTTTGCCTAACCCGTACGATGTACGCGGAGACTTGAAGTATGTCTCCAAAACTACAGGCAAAAATGTGCGTTCCTCTTTTTGCTCATAAACTGACTGCGGCTGTGGAATAGTTCTAGCGATGTTTTCATCACTACCTAAAGCCCCACGTTGCGAGAGCATTTCCAGTCGATGGTGTGTTATAATGCAGTTCTTCTTTACCCAACTATTATGTTGCTCCTCTCGTCATGACCAACGTGATCATCTCAGAGAGAAAGCAGTAGGGTGGTTGTTGCGTGCTGTACCATCATCAGCATTGTTGACGGCTACTCCCGCCTTGAGTTGTTACATTCAAAGTGTTTTTGTGTCACTTCATACGCGAAGTAAACGATTTTCAGGGTTTTGAGATAATTGGGTTTGCAGATGATATTGTAATAATGGTTCGGGGAAAATATGACGATGTCATTACAAACAGGATGCAACAAGCCATAAATTACACCATTGCGTGGTGCAAGTCAGAAGGATTGAGCATAAATCCTCAAAAAACACATATTATCCCATTCACAAAAAGAAGAAACATAAAAATAACTCATGAAAAGGACATCAATGAAACTTTCACCTGAAGTCAAATATCTAGGAGTTACAATTGATTATAAACTTAACTGGAACCAACACTTAAACCAAATCATAGGTAAAGCAACAAATGCTCTATGGATAAGTAAAAGAACCTTTGGAAATAAATGGGGACTAAGGCCAGCAATGATCCATTGGATATACACGGCTATAATACGACCCAGAATTACATATGCCTCATTAGTATGGTGACCAAAAACTAAGGAAAAGTGTGCAATAAACAAACTAGAAAAATTGCAAAGACTGGCTACGGTATCTACAACAGACGCGATGCGTAGCACACCTACGAAAGCCTTAGATGCGATACTAAATCTTCTTCCACTACACCAATGTGTGCAATTAGATGCTGAAAAGAGCGCACTAAGACTTAAGCGAACTAAAACCTTGTTTGAAGGGAACATTAAGGGACACCAACATATATTAAAACAAATACGAATCAATCCATTAGTTACAGTCAGTAATGATTGCATGGAGACAAAATTCAATTTTAGTCGACTGTTCAATGTGGTACAACCAGACCGCTCTCTCTGGCGTGCGGGAGGACCACAAATCCCCCCAAGATCAGTTGTATTCTTTACTGATGGATCAAAACAAAATGATAAAGTGGGAGCTGGTGTGACAGGTCCTGGTGTTAATATTTCAGTTTCTATGGGTGGATGGCCAACCGTTTTTCAGGCTGAAATTCAAGCCATTCTAGACTGTACTATTGTGTGTTTAAAGCGAAAATATAAACATGAAAATCTATGCATTTTTTCTGATAGCCAAGCAGCTTTGAATGCTTTAAAATCATTTACATGTACTTCCAAGTCAGTATGGGAATGCATTCAGTTACTTCAACAGTTGTCTAATAACAATACAGTAAATCTCTACTGGGTGCCAGGACACTGTGGAGTAGAAGGTAATGAAAAGGCTGATGAACTAGCCAGGCAAGGATCATCTAAACAATTTCTAGGACCTGAACCATTCTGTGGGGTCTCTCCAAGCTCCATCAAGATGGAATTAAGGAACTGGACAAAGATGATGATAGATTGTAATTGGAATAATACTATCACAGCCTGACAATCAAGAAAGTTTGTGATGCCAAATGCATCAAACACACAAAAACTCCTTAGCTTCTCAAAGAAAGACCTATGTACTTACATAGGACTAATTACAGGGCACTGTCCAGCCAAATATCATCTAAGACTAATTAAAAAAGTTGATGATGATATTTGTCGGTTTTGTAACGAGGAAACAGAAACCTCCGAACATTTATTGTGCAACTGTGCAGCACTTCTTAACAGAAGGGTAAAGTTCTTTGATAAGGGACTACTACAGCCCTTTGAAATATGGTGTTCATCTCCTAGTAAGGTAGTGCGTTTCATACGACACATAATTCCTTGCTGGGAATATACCTAAAGTTAGGCGTTGATGGTTACTTCTAATAGTAGTTTTTCACCCTAATAAGGTTAACAAAAAAACCGGGGAATATACTACAATAGATCAAATAAATGGTCGCATTGGTAAGGTACCCAACAGAAAAAAAAAAACCGTTATTAAAATACAAAATTACAATTTTACATCTCAAATTAACGCATATTGCCATGCGTATGCGTATCTTGCATATTTCCATCAGGAGGGGTCTTATTTTATTATTTTTCACATATTTGAACGGTTTTACAGCTCAAATAACACCATATTAAAAATCCGGAAGATCATAACCGTTGGGGGTTTTATAATTTTTCACTTTTCTTAACAAAAATATGTGGAAGCACCAGCCGGATCACTCCAAAATCGATACAGAATACAAAATATGCCATGTGTATGATGATAGCAAGGAGTTCCTTTTTAACACACCTACATAATCAATGAAATGTACGTGATTTTCCCATAACACTGAGCCAATGAGCGTTTCACGTAAAGCTTATGTGATTTCCACATCTAAAAAAGAGTGGAAAGTACACTCAGAGCGCTGCAAATCATGACGGGATCATAATGTGCTTTTGTTTGGTATTCGGTAGCGGTAAGATGTAAGAATAACATGATGGATTATTTTATTCTCTTTAACGAAAATTAACCTGTCTGTTTCATCGTGCTCAACAGAATGATGTCAAGCTGTCCATCAGTTTCGTCCTCTAAGGAAAAAAGTATCTTGGCCCATCTCCATGATCGTCCAGATTGTTTGTGCTGCGTATAGAATATTTAAAAATCTGATGTGATGTATTTAGAATATCTGAATAAATTAAAGAAATATTATTAAATTATACTACTATGAATACAATAAATATTGTATCTACATATTAAGGAAATATTTGTATAAACAGTTTCAAAATATTGATACTAGAATCGTCCAATGAATGTCACTGACCAAATCACGTAACTTCTATGTGATAATACAGTGACGGTTAAGCTTCATGAAATGAGTACCCCTACATGAAAATCACGTAGCTCTTATGTGAAAAGTATGATGGAAAAAATCTACGTACGTTTTCACGTAGCATTTACGTGAAAACTATTCTGAGTGTATGCTTCACGGCGAAATTTAAGCCCTCATCACTCTTTTGGTGGTTCCCTTAACGATCGCATAATTTCTAATGGATTCGCCTATAGTTTTCATGTAGCTTCCATTGGAAACGCAAATGATTTTTCATCCATAAACAAAATTAATAGAATTCATCTGAATTTCACCATAACATTTATGCGATCACGTTAATTTTATATGATTTTTCATATGAATTTCATCGGCCTCATAATATTCATGTGATTTTTTGGTGGGATTTTTAGCTATGTGATCAAATGCTATGTGAAATTCACATGGTTTTCATCCATTAAGTGGACCCTACACGATTGCTTTTATTAACAATAATCGTATTGTCAATACATTCTATATTGACGTCAATACATCGGTATTGACAATATTTCTGTATTCACATCATCAATATTACTGTCAATAATTCCCCTTCACGTCAATGTATTGAAACGTGTGGGGTTCGCTTTAGATATGTGATAAACTTTTTGAGTGTAGTCCCATCTGTCAAAACCATAGAAACTTTTCATCTAGATAAAAATAACTTGTCCAGAATAGATCAGACACGAACCAACTCATACATTTTGCACTCGTGTTCGTGGCTTAGATAAACGTTTTCCAACAGATGTCGGTAGTGCAAATACTGCGAATTTAATACTCCATCCACCCGTTTGAATTGATGAATGAGATCTCGTATTTCAAGCCGATAAATTGCCCGTTCAACTACGTCTACATGTTGGAACAGTATCCAACAGCATAATTAGTTTCGTTCGATTCCCTATTGAGACCCATATGGTTTTTGACTGCATTTCATCAGGATCACTGGTTCACTCATTTTTCAAACATCGCAGGCAACCCCCCGCTGACAGACTGAGTTTGCAAATAATGACCATAGAGCAATTAGCCAGACAAGTGCCATCATAAACCGATTACAGAGGACACATACTTTCATCTGCCTGAACTTACCCTAATCTGCCGCTTCATGGTGATGCAGAACAGCGTAATGAAGTACATGACCAATATCGGCCAGAACACCGGGACGTTGAACACCTCGAAGAAGGTACAGATGATCCCGATGACCGTACTCTTGCTGATGGCATACCAGAACTTGAACTCCGGTAACCGTCGGATGAACGGCCGGAATTCTTCGTTCGCTTTGGTGGGCAGCTCAGGGCCCTGGTCGTCTACAACGAAAAACAAAATCATCATTCAATAGTCGTCTTACGCGGAGCCAGCCGAAAGGCATACCGTCCAGGTCCAAGGCCGGATCGATCTTCGGCGTGAGGAACGCAATAAACAGATTCAGGTGGTAGATCCCGAGGGCGTACGTGACAATGTACCAACCCTGTTTGGTGAATACTCGTAGCATGAAGAGAAGTACTAGAACGATTGCTCCGGCCCACCGGAGCCTGGTGTGTGGCGTCCATCGGTCCAACTGAAGCTGGTATAGCTGCAAGCATCGGATTGAGATTAGCCCGTTCCGTCCAAGCAATTTATTCCCCCTTGTAACAAACCTGCGAAATCCGTTTGAAGAATTGTGACACCACATTCCTACTAGGGGCCGTTTCCTCGTTCATCATGATATTGTTTTGATTGCCTCCAATGTGTCGCCAGCGCGCTGCAAAGTCAACAGAATCGTTTTTCCAGCTGACACGCGAAAATTTCTTCTTCTAATCCAATAAGCAAACTCTCCCTCTACCTCTACGTCCTAGACTGGGTGAAAATCAAAGTTCCTCCCCTCCCGCACAGAACAAACCGCACGCACTTCACCCCTTTCGTCGTCCTCCTCCTTCTTCTTTCAACCAAAAAACCAGCACTTGGAAAACCCCTTTAAAAGGAACTGACACTTGACCCTCTTCCTCTCCCCGTAACTCGCGAGGAACCCTTTCTTCCTATTTCTTCTAGACACTCGGACACTGTAATGATTCTACTCCGGGTAATCGAGAGTTGGACGAGGTCGTCGTCGCCGCGCGATTGATGGATGAATAATTGAGCGAGAGCAGATAATTACACCGCTGCTACTGCTGAAAACAGATGCACCGATTCCCGTCCTGTGGGGGGTGTTGTCCGTTTTCAACACGACGACGAGGATCCGCTTCAGTCAATTCTCCTGATGACAGCTCCCAATCTTTGTGGCAATCTTTCTTCGTCGATTGCAGAAATTTTTCGCTTCAGAAGAAAAAAAAATCACTCGACTCAACTTTTCGCAAGCACCCGACGACCGTCCGTCGTGAACCACGTCAATCTGTCAAACGTTGAGTCGTTTGACAGGATCTGATGGACTGGTATAAAAATGGTTGTATGTCTACTAGCCTACACGGAAAGTTTTATTCTTATCGCTGATTAAAATTTAACCACTTTTTTATTCATCGTTGAACCATGGACCGAAAGGGTACCCTAATAAAAATAACCATAAAAGAGAGCTTAACGACGTGTTCGGGGTATCATCCAAACCATTTGTGAGATAGTTTACCCATCCGGGGTACAGTTTGTATATGGTATTTGTTTATTAGGGTAAGGACCTCCTTCACGCGATTATTTTTTTTGTTCACCTAGCTGTTTTTTTTAGTGTACCTGGTGCACCCGGTACTATAGTAAAAGACAGCAATTTGTATCAGAACAGGTGTCAAAAGTGACACAGACAGCACAACTGCCAGCAAAAGCGCCAGCAAAAAAAAAAGCGCGGTACCCACTGCCGTGGCAGTCAGATTGAGGTAGATGTCTTCCATCATTGGATTACACGGATAGAAATTTTCTTATACCTTTTGGCAAATTTCTTTTGCTGATTATTCATAAAATGTATAAGTCAACTAATAAGCAGACGCCTTGCAAAAAGTTAATGAAGCTCATGTGTCAAATGAAATGTATAAGCGGTCACACATACCATTTATGCATTCTTGTAGGACCTATTTGGTTTGCCTTATGGAATGTATAAGGCTGATCTTTTGGCAAAAATGTATAAGTGAAACACATGAATAAAATAATTGATTTTCGTTTCGTGTAGGATTGGGCGATCTTCAGAGAAAGATTGATCTTGACGGATCGATCTTATATTTGGTTCTAGAATCGATCCACTGATTAAATCGGAACCAAAGAATCGATCTTTGGTAGATCGATCTTCTGGTTTTTATTTTAAGTGACCTTTCTGACAGCTCAAACACTTTCGTAATCCCATTTTCAAGTGCTTATCCTCACTTTCGGGCTTACGTACGGTAGCCCAAGAAATTATTTCCTATATAATATTCAATTAAATATTGTCGTGACGGTAAGGAGCAATGAGCACAGGAGGGAGGTTGCTGTATTCGTTAATATCGGGAACACAAATAGTGACGTCATTGTTGTTACAAAATTTAAAACCTTATTTTTTTTAAGATCGAAAAGATCGGAAGAAGAGATCGATTTTTTTCGATCTTTTCATGGACAAAGAATCGATCCGAAAAATTGGAAATCGGAATGAAAAAGATCGATCTTCCAAAGATCGATCCAAGATCGCCCAATCCTACATTGGATAAAGAGGCAAACGCTGAGCTAGGTATGCATAATCGTTGTTTAGATTGAATAATGGCGCCTTCCTTAAAGTACCGACTATTTGTGGGTGGCCGATTCTTCATTCCGTCACGCAACGAACACGGATCAAGAGACCGGTTTTATTCTTCTCTCGATCAAGGGAAAGAACTTAGCCCTACGGTCATTTGCAACTTTAGCTCGTTACTGAATTCGATTTCAAATGCCTTCGAATGGCTGAACGCTCAGAACATTTCTTCGATGGGTTCGTAATTAAATTGTCATTAGCAGCTCTGTTCACCTACCACCACCTTCACCGAAGAGCGGGCCTTTTGTTCATGAGTAATTTGTATGATCCTGAAATTTTGCGCCTCCAGCGAACTAAACGTGTACAAAACGGACACTTGTCCAGAAATAGCTCAGAGGTTAGGAGAAAAAAGTCTACGTGCGTAATATTAGCAGGTTGCCGTGCTCAACCTAGTGATGACAGTTTCGGCCTCAGCATCCCTTATAGTGTGAAACCGAACATTTTGTCAGTGCGAACCTCAACCTGAGTTAAGTTTTAAAAACAAACGATCAAACTGACGTTTGTCAGAAAACAAGCAGACCCAATCTTGATACCCGATCCAGGTTGGAACTGAATAATAAACAAATTCGCTATTAGTGTGTCATGCCAGTCTTTGGACGGAGGGAGAAGGAGGATACAAAAAACCGGCTGCGGTAATTCATTTGCCAGCGTGTCTGCCTAAAGCCAAACACGCAATCGTACTGACTGGCAAGAATGGGTGGGATGGGGATGACACAAGCTGTTCGGCTGGAGAAAGAAGAAGCAGTAGATGTAGAAATGATAGATGTCTAATGGTATTTTTTTACGTTCCATTTATCTTCTGTTAGATTGCTTTGGTGCTGTCATTTTTAACTGTTCGAATTTGTCACGTCAAGAGGTAATTGCACTGGTTTTCGTCATACAGATTTTTCCCCCCATTTGATGATCAATTCAGTTGCGGATGTGGTTGTTTGGCTGCTTCCGTTGAAAAGGAAATGATCGATCCTGTGATGTACTAAAAAATATTCCATACGATTTGACAGCTAGCAAAACGTCATTATCATTTTCACATCATTTCCATCTGCTGGCCGACCGTAGCGTAGATTCGTCAATTTTCGATTTGAAAATTTGAGCTTTTAAAACTACAAGATAAAATCAAAACATTCGTTTTTGAATTGAAAATTACATTGTTAAATTAAATATCTTCGTAGCTATAACGACATTTTTGATACTTTTAAATTGAAAGGTCAATATTTTTACTGGTACAATTTTTGTTTTTTTGTGTGTGGCTAAGCGAAGGGATGATGAAACAGAACAGCTGTTGAAATTTGACTTTGGACTTTATTTTCTTTGCATCGTCTTTTGTTATTCGAGAACGTTCTTCAATTATTGCTAATTTATCGCATTCACAGCACTAGTTGTCAGTTCCACTGAGAAATGTCTCTTGGATCACCTTATTGATGCTGAAAATGGGTGGTTCCTGCACACTTAATGACAGTTTCCCTGTAAATCGCAAAAATACCAAACATTCAACAATTACCCACATCATTCGAGCAGATAAAATGACGTTTACTACCACTCGAACTTTGAAATGAAACATTATTTTGAGATTTTTTCTTCTAGAACCTCGAGAAAAGTAGCCAACATTTGTGCGTTTCATACAAAAATAGAAATTAGTTGGTCTAGTTTTGTGAAATCGTTAGTTTCGTATTGATGGTTGGTAAAACACCAGCGAAAAGCATTACACACAAAGAACAAAAATTGTTGCTATAAAAATAATGCAATTTCAATTTAAAAGTTTCACAAAATTCGTAGTTTTAACCGAGGTTTCAACCTCGGTTTCAACTTCGAAAATATTCAAAATGAAAATTGATTTTTTGATTTAAAAGTGTTTCTTTCAATTTTGACTTGTAATTATAAATGTGCATTTTTTTAAAATAAAAGGTGCAGTACTTTCAAAAATACTTCTTCAGAGCAAAGTTTTTGGCAGCACTGGTCTTCTGTTTACCGCCACTTTCGACTAAAAACAAGCAGATTCCCACACTTTACTTTCACCGGTTTCTCCCAGCCCCCGGAATCGCATTTCTGGCATGCCTCCACTAGCTTATTTTCGACGGATTGGAGGCAATTATCACGGCAGACGGAGGGATACAATCCAAACAATCCAGGAGGAAAACATCAAGGTGAGAAGTTTTGGAAATGGTTCGATGATGGTTTTCATTTGTTTTACTTTTGCAGTACCGTAACCAGAATGCTGCTTCCGAAGACGGTTCGCATCAGTTCTGATCCTCCTAATAGAAGCTCTCGATGGATTTGCTGACAAATATAGCGGAGTTCAATGAATATCGGGCATCGGAATGGATTAAGAATCTAGTAATCATGCATTAATTTATTTCAAGAGTTTGTTTTAAACATGTTTATAATTTTCAGTGGAACCGATCATCTTCTCATTCCTGAAAATGACCAGCACTCACCCCAGTAGCATGTTCTACCAAATATTCCTCGCTTATGGCTGTTGCGATTGATGTCACACCAAATGCCCTTTACCGATTCCGTTACACCATCCTCAATCCCTAATAAAAAAGTACCATACATTAACGATATCATAGATGGTACGACCATTTCCAATAAAGTTGGGATGATATCCCGAATTGGTTGTTAGGCGCTTCTTATGGTTATTGTTTATGCGGGATGTCTGTTCCGGTGTTCCCCTCATGTGAATCGGAGGAGTAAAAATGGCGTGAACAAGTTGAGCATCAGCTCATCTTGGTATCGGGAAGAGAAGACATACCTACACTGATAAATTGAACTATTCCCATTTTGCTTGAAATTTAATCAGTTTGACATTAAACTCAGTTTAATCACATCGAATGATTAAAAATTAATCCTCTCTTTCTAAAAAATAAGCATTTGATATTAATCCCAGTTTAATCATGGTTGATTAGATTATAGATTATCTATTTTTGAATAAATTTTAATCATTTTTGATTCTATTTTAATAATTTTTGATTGAATTTTAATCTTTTTACCCTTCTTACAAAGAAGGGTATAGGTATCACTTGAAAAACCGACTATCGATCCGAGGCCCGGAGGGTCGAGTGTCATATACCATTTGACTCAGCTCGACGAGATCGGAACATATCTGTGTGTGTGTGTGTACGTGTGTATGTGTGTATGTGTGTGTGTATGTAACGAAATGAATGCGCTCACGTTTCTCATCAACCGCTCAACCGATTTGGACAAACTCGGCGCCAAATGATAGGTCTTGGGGTCCCATTGAACGCTATTGAACGGTTTTGGAATCGGTGAACCGGTTCCGGAGATATGGCCGGAATAAGATCCGGTGAATATGGGCCTTCACGCTGGATTTAACGGAAAACGTATCAAACGCATCATGCGACACATCCAATTACTACATAATTCAAAAATAAGATCAATGCAAGTCGTGTTAAGTGTTCCAGACCACATTGGACACACTTGGACATGTTCCGGAAGTTGCTTGAATATGAATTGAATTAAAACCAATTAAATCACATTAAAATACGATGATAAGGTGATTGGTAGCCTCACCAAATAGACTACACCCGGATATATTCCGGGTACCCCCAGGCAGTGGCGTAGCGTCACTGGATGACACGGGGGGGGGGCTTGGTCACTGATAATGACAATAAAATAAATAAACTTGAATAAGTAAGAAGGGTCTGATCACATCATAGGTGGATAAATTCGGGTTTTTTTTTATTATATATCAGTATTGAAGAAAAATAAAATTTAATACTGGAAAGATTATTTCGATTTTAATCATGCATGACTACTGCCGAAGTAATCATGGATCGGACTCAATAGGGTGAAGCGGGAAACTGCATACTTTTTAAGCTTTTTTGATTTAATTTATCTTTGAGTGTAATGAATTTACTTGTTATTTTTGTGTCGAGTAAATACATTTTTTATTAAAATTTTATATTTTTACTTCTTCACCAATCAAATTTTAATAGATTTTGAAATGAAAAACGATGTTATTAGGGCATCTTTAGCGGTGGTCTGATCTAGATCCAAATATATGTCACATTTGAACCAGCTAAAATTAAAAGGATCAAGCCAAAATCAAACTGTGGCGTACGCACCGGTTGGTCTATTTTTGGCCGTTCTATTTCAAACGTCAAAACCCGAGTCAAAACGAACTTACACCCTGATTTCGTGGTCAGCCATTTTTTAATCTCGTACTCATTCGTACACGGTTTTTATCCGGCAATAACCGTGAAATTGACCTCCGATGGCTGTCTCCGGGATCGATGTGCGGCTTTAACAAAAAGCCTTGAACTGCTCGTCCTCCTGCTTCTCGTGCTTCCCAGTGAAATAATAATAAAAACCTTGAAATTTGTCTGGTATGTTGTTGCGTGTTGGGTTTTGGCCCAAGTCAGAAACTGGACAATTCCCTGGGGGGTACCCGGAACATATGTATATGTATATGTATATGTATATGTATATGTAGTATATACTAGAATGTTGCCAATGTGGATCCGGACACTATATTTGACTTAAACTGATCTTGTTTTTTTTTTAATTTCTGTGAGTTTTTACACATCACAGGGTTCGGACCATATTAGAAACTATTCACTTCCCTAGGGGTTCCTGAAAGATGCTTGGAAGTAAGAAAGGTGGTCCTGGGCACATTATTTGACTTCCATTGATCTTGGTTTTGAAATCTAATGTGATTTGCTATGTGGCGCAAGATGGGTTTTGGACAAAGTCAGAAACTGGCCACTTCCCTGGGAGTTTCCAGAACATGCCCGGAAAATCCTGCAGAACAGAAGTGTCCGGATGTCTCTCTTGTGATCCTTTCGCAGCTGCGACGACAGGGCCGGCAGCAACAGCAGCACCGATAGTGCGATAGAGCTGGAACGGCTGGAACTACACCAATGTCAACAGCAGTCGATTGTTCCGCCCACGTTTCTTAGAAAATCGAGGAACTAAATCGGTTTGTTTTGCTGAAAAAAACCCCAACAACGAAACAAAACAAAACAAAATCTCGAGTGCGACAGCTGTCAAACTAGTTTGGAACAGTGCTGCCTTGATCCAAATTCAGTTCAAAATAGATCGAGAATTATACTGGTTTAAAAAAAATACATTTTAGAACTAGTCTAAAACACAATATAGACCACCAGTGCAAGGGCTCGGTTGGGGTCTGTTCCAAAATTTTAGACCAAACCAACCAATCGGATTGCCGCTAAAGATGCCCTTCAATTGAAAACACTGGGGTTTTTTTTAAACTGAAAACGTTTATTTTTAACAATAATAATGCAACATTTAATTTCAAAAGGTTGAAAATAATTCGGTTTTAAGTTTAACATTGTCATGCTTTTCATTTGAAATTAGTACAATTCAGTTTGAAAGTTGAAACTTTTAAAAGTACACTCAAAAAATAAATCACATTTCCAATGGAAAATATCCATTAGAATTTCACTTAACTTTCATGTGATCTCATAATTGGGAATCACATCACAAAATCACATGAACCTTATGTGTCCAATGAAGTTTATGTGATTTGTCATATACAATTCATGTGATCGTATGAACGTTATTTGAATTTCAGATAAAAATCATTAACTTTGTTATTGGAAAAATATCATGTGCGTTCCCAATGGAAACTATATGAAAACTTTTTTCAGTGTAGTGATCGGGAAACTTTTGATTTGATAATGTATTGATTTTCATTTTGAAAGCTAACCGCTTTCTACCAAAAAGAATCAATGCAAACTTTTATTTCTACCAATGGTTATTTTTTAAATTTTAACAACGATTTTTCTTTGTGTGTACGTACTCTTAAGTATATTCTACCCAAAATTAAGTTTAATCCACGTAAATGTGAGAATAAGCAATCTACTCAAAAGTAACTTATTGGGCTGAACTCGACTGAACTATACGCCTTTTTAATGCACCACCAACGTAGAGTGCGCCACGCGACTTCGAGAAGAAACGTCAACCAAACCGTTTGTTTACATCAGAATAAGTATTTTCCCCAATGCAAATAACAGCATTTTTCATTCAAAATCTTGCCAATTTCCATCGATAATTGTCTTATTGTACGAGTTTCCACAAATCTGAACTGATTTGCACCTTAACTATTCACACACAAGAAATCCGGAAGATCATAACCACTAAGGCACTTTTCTAATTTTCCATTTCTCTCAACAAAAATATTCCTGAACACCAGCAGGATCTTGTCAAAAACGTTACAGAATTGAATTTTTCAACTGTAGATTAATTTTTGCAGCATCTCAGATGAATCAATTCATCAGGAAAAGTAAAAAAGTGTTCCGCTTCCTATGTCTCTAGGCAAAAATTTATGCTCACAACACTCTTTTTGACGTTCTCCTATTCACCACCAGAGGCTGAATCGATCGTTTAGTTTCTATTAAAAAGGCCTATATCGTTGGGTTGAATATCTCGTTCCTTTTTGGACAACAATAACAAGTACACGTAAGAGGCTCAATAATTTTTTTAATCAATTCTGGCACCAATCAAATAATGTTTACATTCGATTGTTATTTTGTTGTTGTTTACAGTCACAACGATTCGACACCAGATTAGTACGATGGGGTCTTTTTATGCACCATCAATGTAGAGTGCGCTAGCCGATTTTGAGAGGAAATATCATCCAATCCATTTGTTTTCATCATAGTGACGATTTTCAAAACTCAAAATAATGTCAATTTTATTTCACAACTTGCAAATTTCCATCGGGAGTGGTCTTATTTTTCGATTATCTCGGATCTGAACTGATTAAAACCTCAAATAATCACACATTAAAAATACGGAAGATCATAACCGCTGAAGCAGTTGTTGTTTAGCTTTGAAAAATATACCGATTTTTAAACATAATGGACTTTTTCATCTTGTTTACTAAAGCTTTTGTGCCGTTTTCAAATGATATGCCTGTCTAATGTGAGGAGTCCAAAATTAGCGTGCATTTTTAGTACAAATTGATAATGTTATTTTTGTTGTTGCAGTCTGCCCTTCACAGTATGCTTCACATCAACTAATCAAACGCGCGCCGAGACACTCGAATGTATTTTTGTTTGGGCCAGCATTTTGTGGCAAGGAATTAAATTTAAAATAAAAATTGCAAGTTCCGAAGATTTAATGGACTCTACAATATCGGTATCCAAGGTAAGTTGACATTTAATTTGCCCTTACTGCTATTTAAGTGATCGTGCAATCTCGCCATCATTCCAGGGCGTGTTCGTGTTCAAAAACGGAGCCACCAAAGCAAAAACCCGTCGGAAAGCGCAAAAGTGCAACAGCCTGCTGGACCGCACGACAGCAAGTGCCTTGTGGTACCGGAGCTATGAGACGCTCTGGACCAAGGTCCGCGATCAGCTGGACAAGCTGCTGTCCGGCAGTTACGAGAAGATTTTGGACGATTTGCTGAGCTTCGTGGAGGGATGCTACCAAAGTTTGGAGTACAGTGGCGTTCTGCCCACGGCGGCCCTGCTAACCGGCATCAATCAGATCGATCACCTGGCGCAGTTAGAGGCACTGGCGGGAAATATTAGGAACAATACGTTTTCGTTGGTGGTTCTGCTGCAGTCGCGGGATTGTCCCAGCATGAAGGCCGCAGTAGAGACGTTGGTGTCCGGGTTTGTCGAGGAGAAGGAGGAAGATAGCGAGAGTAGGCGTCTGAGAAGAAATCAGCTGAATTTGGGGGTGCTGCGGGCGTGGTATCTGGAAAAGTATCAGCAGATGGACCGGAAGCCGAATCTGGCGATTATAGTGCCGGATTTTGAGTTGTTTGGACCGGAGGTGCTACAGGATTTGATTTTGGTTTTGAAGTGAGTGTTGGGGGAATTAATTTTTTTGAGCCGGATTATTTAAATTTTATTTTCTAGTTCATATGCAGCGGAGTTGCCGTTTGTGCTGGTATTCGGAGTGGCCACGTCGGTTGCCACGATTCACAGTGTGCTGCCATATCATGTGACCAGCAAGATCAAACTGAGTATATTCCAGTCGGAACCGTCGATAGTTAATTTGAACAAGGTCCTGGACAGTGTCCTCCTGACGCCCTACTGTCCGTTTCATCTGTCCGGAAAAACGTTCAAGCTGCTGACGGACATTTTTCTTTTCTACGATTTCTCAGTGAAGGGATTTGTGGAGGGGTTTAAGGTGAGATTCGGGGGTGATTTTTTTTTGTGAAGATTGGTTTCTAACTTTTTGCCGTAGTACGCTCTGATGGAGCATTACTTTCAGGGTACGATCTACGGACTGTGCAGTGTGACCAGTGACCGTGAGGAATTGGAGGAAGCAGTTGATCAGCTGAGTGCTGCCGATTTGGAGAGCATCCGACAGTTGCTGTCGTTCCGACCGCTGATCGAGTCGTTGGACAATCCCCAGGAGGTGATTGATTTTCTCACCAAAGACGATTACTTGCGGCGGATGTTGCCATCGATTCTGCTGGAGGTCCACAACTTTTGGTTCACGTTTCACTGCACGCTTGAGATGATGCAGGTTTTGGTACAGGACCTACCGAGGACTCCTTTGGGGAAGCAGTTGAGAGAGTTGTACGGTCAATGTATATCGACGGATGTGACCCAAAGAGTCGAGTTCCGGGAGTGTATGCAGCTGGTATCGTTCATGTCCAAAGAGGAGATTCTCGCTAAAGTGGTCAAGATGATGGAGGTTATTCAGAAGTACATGGAACGAAACGACGAGGCGACCATTCGTGGGGAAACCATTTTTGAGGTTGATCTTTTGGAGAAGATTAACACCGATTTGGAACGATTTGCCAATGAGATTGTCAAAGCTGGAATGGAGCGAATGGCGGTGGACGCCGAGGAGACGGCGGCAAGTTTGATTGTATCCCCTAAGATGAATCGGCAAGAGCTGAAAGAGAGACTGTTGAATGCAGCACGGCAACCGAGAATGGAATCGCCCTTCTTTAAATCTGTTGGCAATTTGGTATCCTATCTGACGGAGGAAGTCTTCCGGAAGTACCTTCGCCCATTCAACCGGGGCCCGCCGTTGATTGAACTGTTCGTGTACAGTGACTCGGCAACGATCCGAAGGCATATTGTGGGAGTGCCACGTGCAGCGGTACACACGGCACTCAACAATCCCCATTACTATCTGCAGTGTGAGTGCTGCGAGCTGGACGAGGATTGCAGTCTGGTTCCGACCCTGCCGGACCTGTCGGTGGCGTACAAGCTGCATCTGGAGTGCGGACGAATGATTAACCTGTTCGATTGGCTGCAAGCCTTCCGCACGGTGGTGGACGATGGCAGTTCGGACGACCAGGAGCGACAGGTGGATCCCCAGATACAGTGAGTGTGGTTGCGGGTGGGACAGGTTTGTGTGCGGGTTTCGCCTAAATGTTTGCTTTTGTTTTCAGAGCACGTTTCACCCGTGCAGTAGCAGAGTTGCAGTTTCTCGGTTACATCAAAACATCCAAGCGAAAGACCGATCACGTCGCGAGGTTGACCTGGTAATCGTGTTTTATGTACCTAAAATTTCGTAATTTATTGATTCTAATTCTGAAAAAAAAAATTGGCTCATGTTCTATAGTGAAAGAAATTCCGGTTGCGTATCGAAGTGTGCGATGGTGCATATCGGACTTGCATCACCAAGCCGTTGTTTTAGTACAATTTCAGCAATCGAAACGTCAAATCGATTCAACCCACCCCCGCGCCGCATCGTCGTCAATCGCTCGCGAACTGTCAAAAGGCTCGTCTTGATTTTGCTTTGATCGGTGCGGAGTGGAATCTCTTCTGAATCGCGGTCCGAGTGTAGTGTGTGTGCGTTTGACTTTTGCTGCTCGTCCGAATTTGGCTCTTGTACGATAGATTGATTGCATTTGTCGCAGTTCCGATACCGAACCGCTACTACTAGCAAATAAAAGTTCCGTGTGAAATCCTCCGGTTCCCAGCAAACAACAGAGCAGCAGACAGGATGATGCTCGCTACGGCCGCCGTACGGGGATTGACCCGCCGTTCGTTTTCGACCTCGAAAGTCCTTTCCGCCCAGCAGTTGACCGTCCGCGATGCCCTCAACTCGGCCCTGGACGAAGAGATGCAACGGGACGAGCGGGTGTTCATTCTGGGCGAGGAAGTTGCCCAGTACGACGGTGCCTACAAGGTAAATATGGCTCGCGGGTCAGCAGCTTCCGCGTGGTCCACCGGAGCAAGTGGTTATCTAGTTTTTTTTTTTTCTTAAGCCATGTTACGTAAACACTCTCGTCGTCGTCGTTGTCGGCTAGTGCGAATCTTGCTGAATGAAGGATACAGTGGACGACGGCAGCGACGGCGACGACGACGACGAGATCGAAAGGGTGTTGGGTTGGGATTGGAGATTGAGAGAGATGAGCACGCATAGGAGGAGGAGGTTCACTCTTGAAGGTTATCGGTCTGCTGTCGGATGACGTTGGAGATGACGATTTTTGTTTATAGTTCTATGTAGTTTCTAGTTCATTGTCGACGTTGCAGTCTAGCAGACAAGTGCCATTGAGACAAACTGAACATTATATTATGTATTAGGATGAAGATTCAATAAGGGTGGAATGTTAATATTAACATATGATTGTGAACTGGAAATTATTGTGTTCTGTGTCTTTGTGTTCTGTTGGACGGCTGAGACCGCTCACGGTTCATCTCGCTACACTGCTTTTGGCTATGAGCAGGTGCTTTGATCAGTCTAATATAGGTGATAAGCAGGGACGCAAACAGCCCTCCCGGTCCAGGTGACGAAATCTTTCGTGTTGGTCATTTGGTTGACTTCCCTGGGCCCTGTGCTTGCCAAACAATATACAAATTTATGCATTGGTTTCTATCTCATTCAATAGCACTCAATTAAAATGTGGAAGTGCATCTATAGAATACTAAATTGAGACCCGGCAAATCGCTCGCATAAGAAGCGTACAATCCTAGAACATGCTAAGGAAGATTCCCGTTTAATCCGCAAAACGAATCGATATTTAAGTGCAATACCTTCTATTTGTTGCTAATGACAATTTATTACTAGAGAGGGTCTAGTATAAGATGCCTAGGTGATTTCTAGCAACACTGCCAATTAAATCAATATAGGCGGTGCTCGATTGGCTCTGCCTTTGACAGTTAATTTGGCTCAAAACCAGCCAGTACGCTCCTCTCTTGTACTAGACCCTCTCTAGTTATTACAATTGACCACTTTGTCAAGCAGTTTTGGCGTGACTTTCTACCAGCGATTTCACAAAACTGGATCAACTAATTTCCATTCTTTATGAAACGCACAAATGTTAACATGCCATGCCAATTGGCTACTTTTCTCGTGGTTCTAGAAGAAAAAATCTCAAAATAATGTTTTATTTCAAAGTTCGAGTGGTAGTAGATGTCATTTTAACTGCTCGAATGAAGTGGTTAATTGATATGCTTAACGAAAATTGATAAATCTTTGTTTATTTTTTGTGAAATTGAAAAGGCCCACAAAAACCTGTTTTCAAAGCACTGAGGGGCAAAATGCGCATACTGATTTTATACCACGGAAGCATACATTTAGGCTTTATCTTTGATCTTTCTCTATTGAATATCAAAGGTTGACGCCTGATGGTTATGCTTATCACACTCCCACAATCTCCCCTAATTGTAGGTAAAATTTCATTCTGGCTCAATGATGCACATAGCCATTGTGACTAGACCTGTGCGCCGATCAAAATATTTTCGGCGGCAGCGTGATATGTTATTTTCTGCCGGCGGCGGCGGCGTGGCGGCGTCACGCCGTTTGATTTCGGCGGCGGCGGCGTGGCGGCGTGGGTCGGCGTGAGTTTATTTCACCTGATTTAGAAAAAAAAATTCTTTCCAAACCAATCGCACATTGACAAAAAATGCTACCCATATTTGATTTCAGATTACTGGAAATCGCTAAAACGTAGGTCACTCAGAGTTTGAGTAAATTTTCCGACACTTTCCCGGGGGAAACTTCTCGAATACAGGGAAAAATTAAGAAAATTGTACACAGGTTAGAAGTGTACTAGAAGACTGATTAAAACCTCAATCAGTTTTTCTCATATTCGAGAAGTTTTCCTCAGAAAAGCGTCGGAAAATTTATTCAATCTATGAGTGACCTACGATTTCGCGAATTTGAGTAATCTGAACTCTCATGCTGCGTTAGTGTGGTGGTCAGAATCAAAAGAGGCTACTGCACAGAGGAAACTAGCAAAACTTCAACGTCTAGCATGCATTGCAATAACGGGTGCGGTGCGTAGCACCCCATAAAAAGCATTAGAAGCAATCCTCAATCTGCTGCCCTTTCATGAACATGTGCCAGGTGATCTTGTTGGTCATCTAAGCATGTTCCCGAGTAGCACACTTTCATCACAATAAGTTACAGTAACTTGTTTATGACTGTAATAAGTCGTATATAAGTTTCTACAATTGAATTGTAACACTACTAGGGTTACAATACATCCAAAGAGGACCAGTGATGAGTATGAATGGAGACTGGATGAAACCAGAGGACAACTATGAAATTCCCTTCAACGTTTGTGAAACGGCACGTTCGGATTGGGAAACTGGTGGTCCTAACATTCGTCAAGGCTCAATCATATTTTTCACAGATGGTTCAAAAATTGGAATACGAACATATGCAGGAATCTTTGGCCCCGGGACAAATATTTCAGTTGCGATGGGACATTTTCCAAAAGTGAGCCATACTGTGGAATATCATACTGTACGGTAAAAATGGAACTCAAATGCTGGGAAGAGCAAAGGATGATGGCCAATTAGATGACTGTCACAAACTGCAACCAGCCGAAAAGATATATAACTCCTAATATAACATGCTCTTAGAGCTCAATAAAAGAGGTCATAGTATATACACTGGCCTAGTAACTGGGCACTGTCCTAATAGATATCACATGAAGAACATTGGTCGGGTTCAGAGTAATATCTGTCGTGTCTGTAATTTGGAACGTGAAACCTCGGAGCATCTGTTCTGCAGTTGTGGTGCATTACACAAGCGTAGATCCAAATTTCTTGGAAGTATTAGCTTACAACCTAGTGATATTTAGTCTGCAAAAATGGTTTTATAAACCATATTATACCGGACTGGGAAAAGATGTGTCCAGGCAATTAGCTGTCTACTCGTTAAATAGTGGTCGGTTGGATACTTTTTCCCAGTCTTTCACAAACTTTGTAACAGAATCCGTTGCCTTTACATGTGTCCGCAAGTATGCTTTGGTCCAAAAAGTTTCGATTGGCCTGGCCTGGGGACAGTTTAACGGATTCATCTCCTTGGGTACGAATTGGACCTTGTTGGCTTTATACCAGGCTATCGTGTCCTTGGAGTAATTAACCGACGCCAAATCCGGCCAAAACAGTGTTTGCGGATCATGGGTAACAGACGCTTGTTTAAACACTCACGCACGTAAACATGGGCTGTCATTATCTCCGTTGTCACAAACGGTTCGGAAAGCATACCACACTCACAAATGGCTTGCCCATAGCATTTTTACCGTTTTTTTTTGAAAAAAAAAACCAACTTATCCGCGTCGTCAAACACTTCGGCTATCACTAACGGTGTAGTACTGATGACTACGAAGAGTTTTGGAATCAAATTTAACGTATGATTCAACTTCCATAATCTCAAACACCGATTTTCCGCACAGCAACTGGTCGTATAAACCTTTTTGACGTTTAATAGTCTTTTTCTATCTAGCATACATGGATGAATTAACGGTTTGTTTTCCCACTAATCTGTTTCCCTCTTGCTCGTACTCGTTCGATTTAAATGGTGTAGTAGTGTGCGCCGATTAAACGTCAAAATTCTCTATAACTTCCGAGCCCTCGCTTTGAAGGATGTGACTTATTTTTCACTTCGCTTTGGGTTCTTCTGCTTCTTAAACGTCTGTAGACCCATTCTTGCCTTGGCCCGCTGGACGTTACTTTTCGAGGATCCCACTTTTCTAGCCACGTCTTGAACCGAAGCCCTTTTCAGGGCTGGTAGAGCTGATGCGATATAATAGTAGTGACTTTAGTGACTAAAATTACGGAAATAGTGACCAAATAGTGACTTGTAAATACGAAATAAGTAACCATTTATATGGTAACTTAGAAATTGCAGGGGTGTTCGAAAGTCGTGCTTAGACATTCTGGGATACCCTATATTCACTTATTCTCCTTTATGTAAATTCGACTTGAATTATTCATTCCTGTGTGCTAGATCGAGAAAGTGCGAACAAACGTCAAAAGACTAAATGACAATCGCTGCACCACACGCTAATTTCAACGCGTTCAAGATAAATTTAACCTAAAGAGTGCTACGGATTTGTCATCGGCGTGACATAAATTTATTCGGCGGCGTGGAAGATTTTACTTCGGCGGCGCGCCGGCTAAATTTCATCGGCGGCGGCGGCGTACGAAAATCGTCGGCGGCGGCGGCTTGGCGCGGCGGCGCACAGGTCTAATTGTGACTAGACATATTATTGCAACTTGATTTTTTCTTTCTTGATGCTTGTTCTATTTGAATTTATTGATTAAGTCGTAGAGACTGAAAACCCTTTCAACACTAATCGAAATTAGTTCCCTAATCCTAAGATCGAACTCAGTTTTCGACCCGAGGAAATCAACTTCTAGTCCTACTTCATTGATCGAACAAAGGCACGAATCTAGCGCATCGTTGTTACATCAACTCTTAAGAGTTACTTTAATTTAATTCGTTCAAACAAATCTGAAGCACAAACGAAATGACAGACAACTAACTGGCGAAGAAATCAACTAAAATAATGTGGTTTGCTGTAATAGAATTTTCTTAGAAGCTTGTGCCATCAGCCACCAGATGGGCTAGTATTTTTGTTTGAATTTGAATAAAGTTGATTTTGTGTGCAATGATCTTTGACAGTTTGCAAAGAGTGTATCATTTTGTCATTTTTTTTAGGCATTTCAGCTTTGAGAGATAAACCAAAACATTTTAGTACAATTGGTGAAAATGTTAGTACAATCCAGTAGTAGCATAGAGGTAACTCCAAGACCAGAATTTCCCGAAGAAACGTGCTCAACTTTTTGGCTCCGCTCTGGTACTATCTTCGGTCCCAAGCTAATCGATGGACTTCTCGAAACATAGGAAAATCCACGAACCCCTCATTTTATCTGTTAAACTTTCATAGC